TTAGTAAGTAATTCATGGTCATCAGCTAGTTTGGCTAGTTTCATAAGATCATTAATTGGTTTATTTTCTGCCATAAACAAAGCTAATTTCTCTGGTAGACATCCCAATACTTCCTCAGTTACTATGAGGTCTCTCAAAGTCTCAAACTCTGCAATATTAAGTGCTTCAACCCATCTGTCAAAATTATTTAATTTAACCCGTACAAAGTCAGAAATAGTCTGGTCATGTGCTCTTTTTAAACTTCTGAATTTTTGTCTATGTGCCTCTGGGATCTGCTGGTATGCATTCAAGATGCTCTGTTGAACAAATTTAAAATCGAAAGAATTCTCAGCAGGAATAGATGCAAAAACTTCCTGAGCTTTAACCTTAAATTGCCCTTGCATAATGGCAATCCATTGATCCACAGGCCAATTCATGCCGAGTACTAATTTCTTAAAATGTAAAAAGAATATTTCTGGATCTTCCTCATTGAACTTAGGTAAATCTACATGCTTACTGTACTTGGAAGAACTAATTGTACTCTCTGGATTATTATTAGTGTTACCTTGCCCTGCTGCAATTCTCTGCTCCTCCAACCTGTTATTATTTTCAGCCATACTCTGCTGAATTTCTAATTGTTTAGTTTGCCGTTCGGCTTGTTTAGTCTGATACTCTGCTAGTTGTAATTGAGCCTCCAACATCTGATGCTTAGTCTCCAACTCAAGTTGTTTTTGCTGGTTCTACAACTCCAACCTCTGTTTGTCTGCTTCCAGTCTAGCCATTTCTAATTTAGTCTTCATCTCCAACTTTAAGATTGTCACCTTGTCACTTGACTCTTCTTCTAACTCTCCTAAACACTCCTCGTCAAGTTTCTCCTCCTCCACCAAGTGTGTGACAATTACTCTTAACACTTGAGCCTTTAACAGTTTACTGGAAACTGCTAGGTTCAATTTATCAGCCAGAAACAACAAACCAGACTTCTTCCAGTTTTTAATTTTACCAAAATTTGACTGCTCCACCAGCCCATCAACCTGGTCCTCCATGGTTGGCTCAATTATCATAACCTAGCACTTAAAACAACACTGAAAATTATGCTTGGCCCCTGGCACAAGCTGAACACTTACCTCAATCATGAAGCGTTGAGAAGTTTTCCCAGCAGCTCAGATCGAACAGAGAATATGTACACAGGCTTGATTAGGTGTCACTAGATAATCACAGAGTACCAAGAGAGGCAATTGCTATTAATAATCTGCACTATCAATTAGTACATTACATACAGGGAATTAAAATTTAACCTCCCAGACAGTGGCCCTCATTTGTTACAGCCCTTGACGCCTTGGTATGGTTCTTTTGCCTGCAGTGATCAACTATATATGTTTCAGCCTCATCTTAAAGTTTCGTCTAGGGAATAGTAATATGTAAAAGGGTAATGTAAGAAAAACACTGCTTTAAAAGGGGCAAACAATATACTGTACGTAAGGGTGACAAACATATCAACATATAAATGGTAAAAATATAACAGCCAGAAATATTCTTCAGCATGCAATAATATCATAAAATCCTTAATGAGCACAGGCAATCTCTTAAACACATGAATTAATAAATGGGGTATCACAATATAGTCTTACCAAGAGAATTAACTAAGTAATAAGCTAAATAAACAATATCCACTGACTTAACTTCTGTACATGTCTCCTCACATGCAGCTCGCCAGCAAAGCAGACGTCCTACCAAAACATCAACTAAGCATCCACATGAACTCTCGTGAAAACTCTACTTACAAAGTGTAGTACTAAGAACCATATGATCAGTAATCTTAAGAGTATATAATACTGTTACAATAATAATATGAATTTATTACACTCAATAACAGGAAATAATCAAGGTTGAAATATAAACGCTAGCTTGACAACAAGCCGCACTCTGGACACATCCAAATATGGTCAACCCCCCACCCCCCCAAAGGAGAAACCACACTCCCTCCAACAAGAAATAACTTGCACAAGCCTATTAAAATTAATGCAACTCAGGCACACTACAGCATGCTACAATATACATCATACAATATTATATATATCATACAATATAAAGTGGAACACAAATGGATATTATACTAATAATAGAACAGAACAGGGAAAGTATAAAATGCTAGGCATAATTATCATGATAATATTAGAAACAATGCTGGATTCATAACAAGGTGGGTGGGGTGTTGTACTTTCATAATCTATACCACCAGTGGTGGGAAGCAAGATTACAAATGTTAGTTAATCTACACACTAGTGAGTTAACAATTAATGCTTAGCTCAAAAGTTGAATGGCCTGATAAAAAGCCCTGGATTTCCATCAATCGTGGCCAGGGAACCTTGTAGGCAGACACTGTTACGGCAACTTAAGAAACCTTATGTTACTGCAGGTCATCCGGCGTCCTATTCTGGTACGTTACCTGCCAAGTAGTGTGCTGTTATCAACATACGGAGTATATTCAAGGTAGAAGAGTAAGCATTAATAATTTGTCTTACCCCTTTTGGTTAGAACGCCTACAACCTAACCGGGCAATGTTCAATACATTATGCAAATGGCCACTACACAATTAGAAGCAATTACTCGGAAACGATACTTTCCTTAATGCAGAGCTCGACAGTTGGGCGGAATCTTGCGGTTCCTGTATTGCAAGGATCTGGAAAGATGTACGTCTTGATTATATTAGACACTAGTACATTTGCGCGTCTGTGGGCTAGGTACACATTCAGTACTCCTGCTCTCGTAGCGTCCTCTCACCAAATGACATTGCGTGGCTTGGCTCGTCTCTTTCCCCCCTCAATACATACTGGGCGCATCCAATTTTTCTCTGATTTAATTATCAGTTATAGGAGGAAGACGCTTATTTATTAATGAATTACATTTGTATTCAGTCTTAATAAATACTTTTCCACAGCTACTTTTCCCACGTGGCAACTCCAGTTTTTCCTGGGAGCCACTAGGTACGATCTCTATAACACGTATGCGTGTGGTTTTGAGGGGGGTTTTGGCTCCTACGTGGGCCTGGGTTTTCTGCTGTACTGTTTTCTACTGTTCTTTTTGTGGCCGTGTTTCGCTTTGGCCTGTGACCCATTATTTTGCGTGCTTGGGTGCAGTGTGGTGTGCCGTGGTGGTGTGGGTGGTATGAGTGTGTTTGTCTCGTTGTTTAAGGTGTGTTTAGTGTGTGTGTACATAATTTCTTCTCATTTAGTTTATGTAATTTTCCTGGGTAGCGCGTGTATGGTCCTATGCTCCTTTGTTCTTCTGTGTGTGTGGTAGGCGTGGTTTTGTGCACGTGATTCTATATCCACGTCTGTGTATGTTTTATGTTATTGGTTCCAGGTGTGTTTAACTGTTATTTATGTACTTTATTGTTTTCTTTATTTTTCATGTAATTTTCTTTGCCATGTTCTGTGTTGCTATGTAGATATGAACTGTTTAGCCTATTGTTTCCCTGTACTGTTTAGCCCATTGCTTCAATGCGTTTTTAATTTATTCAGCGCTTGTGTTTGTTTTGCGGTTACTGTTATTGTTTAGTGTACAGACTGTTTATTCCTGTGTACTGTTCCTTCATTGGTATACTTGATGTGTACAGATTTTCGTTGTTTTGTGTGTTCTTGTATTTGCGTAATTTATAAAAATAAAAAAAAATAAAAAATCTCTATAACACAATTATTAATATTAATATTGTTAGTAAGTACCTGACATAGCCACTTTAACCTCGTATGACAAGGGTTAGTAAGTTGATGTCGGAATTTCCGACACCTACCCTTCACTACCTTCCCTACCCTTCACTACCTTCCCTACACTTCACCACCTTCCCTACACTTCCCCACCTTCCCTACACTTCAACACCTTCCCTACCCGTCACCACCTTCCCTACCTGTCACCACCTTCCCTACCTGTCACCACCTTCCCTACACTTCACCACCTTCCCTACCCGTCACCACCTTCCCTATCCATCACCACCTTCCATACCCTTCATTACCTTCCATACCCTTCATTACCTTCCCTACTCTTTACCACTTTCACTACTCTTCACCACTTTCCCTACTCTTCACCATCTTTCCTTCCCACCACCACCTTCCCTACTCATCACCACTTTCCCTACTCTTCACCACCTTCCCTACCCGTCACCACCTTCCCTACCCATCACCACCTTCCATACCCTTCATTACCTTCCATACCCTTCATTACCTTCCCTACTCTTTACCACTTTCACTACTCTTCACCACTTTCCCTACTCTTCACCATCTTTCCTTCCCACCACCACCTTCCCTACTCATCACCACTTTCCCTACTCTTCACCACCTTCCCTACCCTTCACCAACTTCCTTACATTTCACCACCTTCCACACTCGTCACCACTTTCCCTACCCTTCATCACCTTCCTTACCCTTCACTCTGACCTGTCACCCTCAAAAGTATTGAATGGCTAGCCTGTCAATACTTTTGCGTCTGGAAGTCTGTTCCTTGCAATACCAAGCGTCTGGAAAAACCTTTAATAGACTAATAGACAGATAAGCAGACATTCTGTTTTATAGATATAAATTGTAAGTTTGTGTGTTCCTTCCCTTGTACACGCATCTTACACTTTAGGCTAGGTTAGGTTAAGTCATATTCGAACAGTGAACATCTTGCCTCCGTACTATCCCAGCTCCCTGTCCTCGTTTCATGTGATGTATCCATTTCATGTGATGTATTGCCTTACAGCTGAATATATTACAGAGGGCATGTATGATCCATGTGAGTGAAAACAATTCTGTAGTCTTCACTAACATTTTTACAGGCATAATTCATATCAGCTTTTTCTGTACTCATTAAGGAATAATATGTAAATTGTTAAGATGCTCGAACTATTTATAATCCAATTATATTTATATTTATAATCCGGATATTTATAATCCGAACTATAATCCAATTATTTATAATTGGATTAAAAAACAGTTTGCAGGCATATTGTAGTGAAAACACCATGTAATAATTTAATCTGGTGTCAGATTTGCTCATCGACCTACTCTGAAGGTGGCAGCGGAGACATGCCCAATGCTGACATTAGTTAACCAGGAGAAAGCTGAGCCACGCCTTGCAGAGACGGTAACATTCTCAGGACCCCTGGCAGACCTTGTATCCTACCTGGCCAAGGCGCTCAACTTCTCGTAAGTTACAGTTTCTAGAACCAGCATGATACCTGGTAATAGTCTTACCTCTACAGGTCTGTTGCCTCCTTGCAAGTTACAGTTTACAATTACACAAGAGCAGATGATGATTAATTTTGTACATTAAATAACATGCTAAGCAAGCGTTAATTTTAAATCGATGGAATGTCGCATGCCTTATGTTTCCAAAGCCCTAAAGTCGATGTTAATGTAGAATATAAACTACTTTTACTTAGCAAAACTCTTTACAATTATGTTTTAATAAGATTTTGTGACCTGCCAAGTGTTATATATCAAAATAACTTTTTAAAGTAATTAAATACTTTTCACTAGTCTGTGGTACACGTAACGCAAATATAATGGTGCAAGTTATTGGTGGTTTTACATGTTATTATACCCATGAAACAGTCTTGGTTTTCTCGGCTCCAGGTACATATACTTGAGGCCATCTGATGGGGCTTGGGGCATTAAACGTGAAGATGGTACCTGGTCAGGCATGTTGGGGATGGCAATCTCGCAGGTAGGTTTTTCCAGTATTGATATTTTCTCATTGATGAAAAATAATAATAAATTTTTACAAAGCTAAATTTCCAGCGCTGCAATAAGATGAAAACAAAATACATTTCCATACACATCTGGGAAATGTTAGATAGAGCATGCAGTGTCGAACCACTCCCGACCACCCTTAGTTTATATGACTTAAGTGTGTGTAACTCTTGCGACACACGTCCCACCACATGATGTAATGACCACAAAGAGACAGTCACAGACCCAGAGGGACCACTCTTAACAGATCCCACCTAAGGGAACGGAAATTTTCAGGGGAAAGCGCCAAGTCATTACGACTATATAGCAATTGGAAGGGGGTCAGGATAAGGATTTGGGATGGGAAGGGGGGGAAGGAATTGTGCCCAACCACTTGGACGGTCGGGGGATTGAACACAGACCTGCATGAAACGAGACCGTCGCTCTACCATCCAGCCCAATTGGTTGGGAGACACCACCTATGCGAAGTGCAGGTCGCCAGAGCGTTCTCAGGGTGACCCCGTATCCTCTCGTTGCACTTCGCTTGTCCACAAAGCAACCGGAACTGCAAAAGGTCACCTACAGCTTTCGTTGTTGGAGTTCCGGACCTTCCATATCCAGTACTCAATTCTAATAAAATCACTGACTACAAAACGCCACATTTATTTGTCATTGTAAAGGGAGGTGAGTTCCGCCTAATCAGATCTACCCATATAGTTGAGACCCTTCAGACTTTACCTGCAGTGTCACTGTGGGAATAACTGTTCGCCCTGGTCTCCCTTGGCCTCGGTGTCTTGGCACATGACCAGAGGTCCTTCACAGCATTCAAGTTACATACAGTGAGTGTTCCATATAAGTGTTTTGTGTTCATTCAGTTCGAGCACATGATGCAAGTAACAGTAAATGTTATGGAGAACTCAAACACAGATCAAAGAGGACACAAAATTTAAAAAAAGAAGAACTGCATTTGAAGGAAATAAAATGTCAGTTATATTGCCAACAAGCTTATTTGAATTTTCTTGCCCGGCGGAGACTCGTATTTTTTAAACTGTGTCCCGATTCATTAATGGGTCACGAATTAAACCAGTAAAAGGATTGAGACAAACAACAAAATCATTTAAAAATAAGCAAGTGTGAGTGAAAATCAAATTCGCACTCATTATCATCATTGCAATTTATGATACAGATGGAACGCGTGTTGACAGGCGATAGGTGCTTAGTTGTTGCATCTTAGTAGTTCACTTACATTAATTAAAGAATGCTTTTGAACAATACAAATTTTTTATCATTGTTGTAAGGTTTATATTTCAATTCATGTATTTATTATGCACCCCATACCCACCCTGTGGGCGGTGGTGGAAATTGTTACAGAAGCATATAATGGGTTCAGCAACTGAACCCCATAGTTCGTTAACAACTCTCTCTTGTGAGGCTCCAGAATTTTACCATTTATCAAAATAGTGACATTCTTAGTATCATAAAGAGTTATTTGTGTGAACTAGGATTTTCTACATTAAATCAATTAAAAACGAAATATTGAAACCTGAACAACACTGTGTGTAGCATTGTTTTCCTGTTTTCCAAACTGAAATCAACTACTGACAAACAAACAGAGGAGTCCCACCTGAGCTGCCGTAGGGTGTAGAAGTGTCGTCTGACTGCTCCGGCAGTTTCGGGAGGTTGCACTTTTCGCCAGCAAGGGGTGGGTGTCTCTACCCTCCCTGCTGTCCCTGCCTGGTGTTGACGTGGCACTTTTACGATGAGCGGCCATCTTCCCGCTGTTGAGAGGGTAAACTCCGTGGGTTTGGAGTTTACCTACCGTGCAGGGTATCCTCTCATTGAGCAGGTCATGTGTGACGTGCTACATGTCCCGGTCGAGGAGGTCTACGGGGTTGAGCTGGTGACTGCTCGCCGAGTGATTATCAAGTTTGTGGGTGAGGAGGCGTACCGTGGATTTCTCCGGCGGTATGAGGGCCGTACCTTGAAGTTGTTGGATGGCACTGGTTCAGTGGCCATATCTGATCGGAGTGGTGCCGTGATGTATGTAAGCGTCCATGGGGCCCCCATGGAATTCCCTGAGTCCCTTCTCCTGCGTTTCTTCCAGAGATTTGGCTCCGTCGTCAGTGTGAGGATGCACAAGCTGTCTTCTGGAAAATATGCGGGGTTGAAGACGAACATTCGTACCCTCGGGATGCGCCTGAGGTCGGACCTTCCATCCTCTGTCCGACTTTTAGGGTACTACGTGCGGGTGTATTATGCCCGGCTACCCCGTACTTGTTTCCGGTGTGGCATGTTGGGGCATCAGGCTGCCGGATGTACTGCGGATCCGGTTGCTCCAGTCAACTTGATCCGGGAAGAAGATTTTCCCCCGCTCCCTCTGGAGGAGGTCTCCGGGGATGAAGAGGTGAGCGTTCAGTTAGCGGATGCGGCTCCCCCTACGTCGCCGGACGTTCCTCCGGTTGTTACAGACTCTCCTCCGGGTCTTGCAGTGCCATCGGATGGTCTACGTGCTCCTGTCACTGTCTCCGCTGCTCCTGAAGGCCTTCCTAGTGATCATTGTGATGCGCCGCCGCCTTCTCCCTCATCTTTGGCTGCTGTGCCTGGCCCTGTGTTCTCGCCTCGGGTCCCGGATGTGCTGGGTGCTGGGGTGGCTGCGGAGCCTCCTGCTGTGCGTGGGCCTGTTCCCCCTGTGGTGGAGGCTGCTGCCGTTCTGCGTCGGGCGTCGGTTCATCCGGCTGGTGGGACCCGGGTTTTTGGGTCCGCTTCCGGCTCTGACGATCTCCGGCCGGAGCCCAAGCGTTCCAGGCGTTCGTCGTCTGCCTGGGCCGATGTTGGGGAAATCGGTGACTATGGGTCCTTGGGAGTTGACGGTGTGGAACTGGTTGTGTCGCTGTTTCCACGGTTGGTGGTGGCAGAGGTTCATGTGCCTGCTGATGCTGGTGCCCAGGTCTCGGGGGTGCCTTCCGTTCCTTCTCTGCCTGGGGATTCTCCGCAGTGGGAGGTGGTGGCTCCCGCTCCCAGGGATGGTGTGGTTGCTGGTGCTGGGCGTGGCCTGGTTGTGACATTACGGAAGGATGCGCGCCGCCCTGGTTCCCTGCAGTCGTCTGGTGGTGTGCCCGTGGCTGCTGGTGCCCCGGTGGTGGTGTCCTATGTCCAGCCCCCTCTTGTGAGGGTGTGTGTTGGGGACCTGGGGAACGTGTTGCCGGCGTCGGTGATGCCACCGGGTCACTGGTCGGCGATTGCTGAGTTACTGCTGAATGACGAGCCGGGGGAATTTTATGGTGGGGGTGTTCCCTTGATGTGGGGGATTGTGGCAGTTACTCGCGTCAGGAGTGATACCATTTGGGTCCCCTGCTTGCGAGTGTTTGTAGCTAGGGTTCCGGATGATATGGCGTCCCCGGTGGGTGTACGAGACCCTTGGGGGTGGTTACGTTGGGAGGCGTTCAATGTGCGTTTCCCCTGGGCTTTGTTCCCGGGCAAGTATGTCCGCTGATTGGCCGGTGTTTTGCAGAGTGTGTATTCTCTTCATGTCTTACCTTGTATTACCTTGTTGTATTGTGTTTTCTTTTTAATTTTCCTTTTGTTTATATTTATGATTTGTTTGTGTGTGCATTGTCTTGTGTTATGTTTCATTTTCTAAATTTTGATGTGTTTTGTTGTCGGTCCTTCTGGCCGGTGTTTGTTTGTTTTGTTTATTTGCTACATTGTATTGCTTGTTTGTTATTGTTTTTGTTCTTTAATTTGTCTTGATGTATGCTGTTCCTCCATTTTTGCTAATTATTGGCCTGTGCTGTCGGTCCTTCTGGCCGGTAGCTTCTGTATTTTGTTTTTGCTTTTTCTGATATTTTATTGTATTTATTGTCTTTATCTTGCATGCTTGCATGTAAAAAAAAAAAAAAAAAAAAAAAAAACTTACAAACAGGTAGCGCACTGGCTACGGTGGGGAGAGGTTGTTTCACCTGCCTCCTCCAGTTGTTGACAGCCCGGCGTAGCATGCAGACCCTGGTGTGGTTGTTGCAGCCCGTCCTCCAAACAAAGACCCATAAGTGATTCCATGCACCCGCCAAACTCCCCCCCCCCCTCCCGTTTATGACTGAAAAACAGTTTACATGCGACTCACAACTGATTTTGTTCGAACACTTCCTTAACAAGTGCTTCACTGACGAAATTTGTTCGAACTACAACGCTGTAAATGCTTCACCCATGTACTAAAAATACAAATAATCCTCAACAGAACCTAAACACCTAACCTAACCTATGCCTATATATGCACAATATGCTAACGTATTATAATATAATTTATATATGAGAAAATTCCTGATTTGAATGAGGAGCATGTTAAAGTTTATGAATGCGTCTGTGGGGTCGACCGCTGGAGGGAATGAACTTTTTTTTGTTTTTTCTTTTTTTTTTAAACAGAGCAAGTACAGCGTATAGTAACCATATAAACAGGAAAGCAAAGAATGACAAAGAACACAGAATAACAACAACACAGATAACAAGTAACACAGACCAACACAAAAGTGAAACAAAGAATAACAGAAAACACATAAGAACACACACACACACACAAAAACAAAAGCAGCACTACCCAGACGGGGCGCGCCAAAAGCGTCAGTAATTACAAAAGCGCACAAGGAGCACAATAAAACCAAGGGTAAATTATAAACAGGAATACACATACAAAGAAACACATACAAAAATAACACAAACGCAAAACACACGCACCATGCGCCACACCACACAACAGCAGACAACACACGCACCATGTGCCACACCACACAACAGCAGACAACACACGCACCATGCGTCACACCACACAACAACAGACAACACACCACAGAAACGAGAACACAATAACAAACATGTTAATATAACACTGTAAATACAACATAGTAAGGAAATGCAGGAAAATAACAATGGAATACATCAAAGCAATACACAGCACAGTACATAAAATAAAGGAAACAGAACACATTAGCATTACTTAGTAAAATAACATAGTAAAAAATAAAGGAATCGGTATAGTACAAACCGACATTGGAACATATAACACAGATAAAAGAAAAAAGTGTAAAAAAAGCATAAACACACAAACAAACAACACATGCCACCCATACGGGGCGTGCCAACAGGAACCATAATGAAAAGCACATAACACAAGGCAGCAAGACAAAATGACAATGAACACAATCATACAAAAAAACACACAACAATGGAACACATACGAAACAAACACAGCCACCCAGCACACAAACCCGACCCCCACAGACAGAGGACGGCCAGCCACCAAGCAGAAAAAACACCCACGCACCGGAAACATCAGGAGAGAGACAGACATGCCACGCAACACCACAACACACCCATACCCACCCACACACAAACAAAACCCTGCCACACAAGGTAACCAAGCAAACCCCAGTACACACAAAACCCCAAAGACAAACAAACACAGACCCCCCAAACCCCCACCCACCAGAGGGAACCGAACCAAAGGAACACGCACAGACACACACACACACCCACAGGAACCCACTACCTACACCAACGCAGCACCCCGGACATACTCGACCGTGAACCAAGCATCAAAAACCCTAGGAAAGGAGCGACGCAACCACCACATAGTATAAGACAGACGGCCTTTCAAAAAACCCAAAATCCTCCCCACCCCATACCCCTCCATCCTACCAACCCATAAACAAAAAATATAGTCTGCTAACAACACCCAGAGCGTGTTACACACCCGCCTGGAGCCCCGAGGGAACAAAAAAAACAAAAACCGCAATAGGTCGACCTGCACCCCTGGACCACAAAAGGCTGCAATGACATCCCGCAACCATTCAACCAAACCCTGAACCCGCGCACAAAAATAAAAGACGTGCAACTGAGTCTCACGTCTCCCACAATGAACTCAACTATCAGAGGCGACCAAACCCAACATAAAGAGCCTCGCATTCGTAGCCAAAGACTCATGCAAATACCGAAAAACCAACTCACGCGTCCGTGGCGCAATACACGGCCCACTCAACGCCTCCCACACATTCCCCCAGTCGAAACAAGGGTACAAACTTTCGACCCTGGGAG